TCCTTACGCTTGAATATAATATTTTTCCTATATTCTTCATTTGACATTTCATCATCTGTATAGCCAAAATTAATGTATTTTATCATAATTTATTTTTCCTTAACATTCCCCAGTGGAACATAGGGCTTCAAGCTACAGGCTTGAAGTTTCTGTAGCAGTGTTTATTTTTAAAGGATGGGGTTGCTAGCCTCATGTCCAACCTTTCCTCTTCACCGGCATTATTTCTGGCTTAGTGAGGTAAAGGAGTGCGTCAGTGACCGGGGATCGAACCCCGGACCATGGGCATGGTCGGCGAGCGTCCTAACCGCTATGCCACCGACGCACATTTTATCATAATCAAGATTCCTAATTTTTCTTCTAAAAGTATATATATATATTACACAAAATAATATAATTTACAAAATACCTTGCAATGACTGAGTGTGACTACTTAGGTCAAACTAGTAGGTCGGGGGTATTCAGATTATCGGAACATGAGAATTTAGCTAAGGTAAGAATGGTTGACCCCGAGTGGTAAGTAATTTAGAAAAAGGAACTCAGCGATTGCACTGCATGCATTAACACACAACCACACAATAGGGTGGGTGGGACCGAGTCAAAATTCTAAAACGTAATACAGATAGATGCAAAAAGAGAGAGGTTGATTACTGAATCCTTGTTCATCAAGTCTACACCCAACATGTGCAATTAGATGCAATGACTCATCACTCATACCGGAAATATGGAAAATACTACTACCAATCAAGTCAAGCGATGAAAAATAATGGAATTATATAAACGAAGTTAGAAAGTTGTGTGAGTGAGTGACTTGACATGATTATGAGCGGTAATAAATTGTGCTCGAAACGTTGTCATCAGTACATATTACAGTATAACACTGTGGGACTTTATCAAAACAAATTTTACCTGTAATGGATCTATACTCTATCACAGTGCAGAAGTTTTATTCTTATATTATCATTAAAATTTCAATTCCTAACTGAAATTTTAAGTATTTTTGTGTTGTCAGCTTTCAAAATTGAAATGAAGGGTCTAATTTCTCATCCAGTCTACGAGTGCGTCAATATAATCTAAATTTGAGACTACACCAGATGGATTTCACGTTTATGGCCTCTTCGAGCTGATGATATTCGTCTACTGTGATTCCTTGGTCGTTGCAGTTCCCGCAGAACTGCTTACATCTGGTGACATCACTATGTAAGTGTGAAGTCATAGCGCGCGTATTTGGAAATGTTGGAGGTCATTTAAAAAAAAAGTGATTTCATTTCCAGTTGCTGACTTCGATAGCTTGGATATGTTCTACAACTATCATTCTAGTGGCTGTCATACGGTCAACTGTTTGTTATTCTTGCAATTGGTTGGGAAAAATCAAAGGGTGATCAGCCTATGACTTAACAATTTTGGGATGTAAGACAGCTGTCTTAGATTACCATCGCTTGTTGTAAAACGACTTCTTGAGTTTTGTCTGAGAGATCATACAACTCCCTAGATCAAGACTACATAAGACTGGAAATCAAAATTGATGGCACAAATGCAGCAGTTTCTTCTCGCCTTCTCTTTCTTAGAAGGTCCGTCGGTAGCATAGCGGATAGCACGCTCGCCGACCATGCACATGGTCCGGGGCTCGATTCCCGGCCGACACACTTCTTTACCTCGCTAAGCCAGAAATAGAAAAGCTGGTAAAGACGAAAGGTTGGTCATGAGGCTAGCAACCTCATCCTGTAAAAATAAACACTGCTACAGAAACTTCAAGTCTCTAGCTTGAAGCCCTATGTTCCAACAGGAACATGAAGGAATAAAGAAAAATAGCTGCTCTTTTGAATGTTCGTGTTTTCGTCTTGTTCTTTATTCATTAGGCATTTTTTTCTTCTCATTTTACTGTTTCCCTCATTTCGCGAAACGTCCCTCGGTGCCTTAGTTGTACCAAGTGCGTGCTTCAATATAAAATTAACTTCCAAATACGTTAAAATAAAGTGTCCTAATCATCGGGTTACATAATAAGCGTGTTATCGTCAGTGACTGAGTTAGATTCTGAAATCAACAGTTTATCTTCAATCTACGCCTTGTTGGTTGTTATCCTCACAGTGAGTTTCATCAATTTCTAGTAAGATACGGTGATCAATAAGGTTCATCAGTGAAGGTTGCATTGTAGAAAATAACGAAAAAAATCCCGAATTATTAGCTGAATAGCAGGTGTCTGACCTGGATTACTGACTTGACGTGAAGGGTGCACTGTTGAACAGTTCCAGTGTTTCAGTAATTTACCCAGAGGATATCAGTTTCCAATCGAATCAGTCCTCAAATTATTCAAATCTCCATAAACGGTGCAGTTCAACTTCAAGTTTATTATAGACGACCTCTGAAATCCAACGATCATTGACAACTAGGATGTATCAATTATAAGGGAGGTTCAAGTTTGATTCCCAGCTGACCAACTGTTAAATCTCGCCTATTTTACCCGCCGGTAGTATTTTTGGAAGAGAGGGAAGGTTGTACGTAGGGTTAGCAATTCGAACCTTTAAAACATACACCTGCTGCCGAAATCACAACAGTTTTTAGCCATCTGTTCCACTCGGAATATAAGGGATGAATAGAAAGGATGCATGTGGTCCGAGGTTCGAGCCCCGGCCGACTCACACCTTTACCTCACTAAGCCAGTAATAAGACTGATAAAGAATGAAGGTTGGGCATGAGGCTGGCTAGCAACCCCACCCCCTAAAAAATAAACACCACTGCTACCGAAACTTCAAGCCTCTAACTTAAAGCTCTATGTTCCACTGGGAGCGTTAAGGAATAAAAAACAACAACAGAAAATCCCAGGGACAGACAGAGTGAGAAGGAGAGAATGAAAATAACTGGCTTCGTTTCGCCACTTGATTGATGTCTTTCCTTGTTTAATGGTTGACTTCATTCATTCAACCTTAATTTAACCACCTTAGTTTTCATGTGTATAAATATGTGATTATATGATCTTTTCAGGTTTCTTCACAAGACCCTAGAATATTTGTTTTTGCCTAGTAACGTATCCGTTATATTGTTTTTATAAACAGTGATTATCCCTTGTTTTTATTTTTGATAAACAGCCTTTTTGTTTTTCCATTTAAGAATTTGAATATCATTAAAAATTGATTTTCAATTTTACTTTTTAGGATTATTTATCAGCGATGTAAAATCATGTGAAAACGTATAAATATGCAGTTTTGACAGTTGAAACTAAGGTCACATTATTTCCTGTGGGTTGATGAAATCGAAAATGGCAGTGAGAAATTCAAGTGATCATAACATTCCCTATAGTTTGGTTTGTAAGGGTTAGCTATGGTTTTTACGAGTTGATCACAGACTGATATCAATTAGAGAACCATTGAAAACCCAACAGGGGGTACTGGAAAGCTGTTTCATCCAAGTTTGGGAATCATCGGCAATACGCAACCACTGGCATTCGAACCCAGGACCTTTCGGTTACAAGGCAAGCTCGTATACCATTAAGCCGCTGGGACCCAATTCAATGGCTCTTGAATTCTAACTTCTACCAATTCGTGATTTAGATCGACCCCTACCAATGTCGTTGGTGGGATATCCATCCTCACAGGTGACATCTGGTTGAACCTTACTGGTCACGACTTCTCACTAGAACTCCAGGAAACTACATCCTGCAGCAAGTCACTAGTGAGCATCAGATTAATTTTCTATAGTTGGTTTGTAAGGGTTAGTTATGTTTTTAGGAGTTGACCACGGATTGATATCAGTTAGAGAACCACTGAAAAGCAGGGAGTACTGGGGTCGAGCTAAATCACGAATTGGTAGAAGTTAGAATTCAAGAGCCACTGAATCGGGTCCCAGTGGCTGAATGGTATACGAGCTTGCCTTGTAACCGGAAGGTCCTGGGTTCAAATTCCAGTGGGTGCGTACTGCCGATGGTTCTCAAACTAGGATGAAACAGCTGTCCAGTACTCCCTGATTTTCAACGATTCTCTAACTGATATCAATCCCTGATCAACTCGTAAAGATCATAAATTTCACTGTTTTTCCCAAGTTCAGTGCTCAAACTTTTCCTAACATGTGACAAAATCTGGTGGGAAGCTTTCCTTAAATTATATTGACCAAGAGTTTCTCTGGTTCAGAAATGCCACCAGCAGACACACAACTGACAGTAAACACAAGATGTCTAAGAAAAAATATCTCTAAGGCCATAAAGTTACTGAAGGCTGACCGGGAAGTCTGCAGGACTAGAGGCATTGTAAAATGACACGAAGACCCATAGGATGTAGCCATGCCATTACTACAGAAGATGTGGAATAAAGAAAAGGCGTAAGCTGATTGGAAGAAAGGTCAAGTTTCTAAAGAAGGGTAACTTTAGTCTATGAAAATCGCTTGACTGGTAAGCCTTCTAACAGTGTGTCACTGACGCACAGGGATAATCAATGACATTATCTTATCAATCGCTGTACTTATCTTCATAATTCTGCTTGCAATTATTTTTATCGCAACTTTATCATTTCAAGCAATCGAGTAAATATCACATATTACATAAAGTTAATTTAAGTGTCTATATGTTATATGAAATGAAAAACAAACATTGTCACTAGAAAAATGAAATTCCGATACAATTAGCCCTGGTGAGCATTTGAAGTAATGAAGACGAAGTTTTGGTGTTTTTTATTCTCAGAATGGAACATTTTAATCCGGAACCGCGTATCTGCTGTTCAAGGGTAGAATGTTCACCAGCTACATTCTTGATCCAGGCTTGATTGTCTCATAAACCGGTAGTTAACCAGCAAAAGAAGTAAGGCTGGTCATGAGACTATCAACCTCACCACGTAAAAATGTAGACAACACCACCACTAATGCAACTTCCAAGCTCAAATTTTGCTGAAGCTCCATGTTCAATTCACAACCCAAAGAAATACAAAAGAACACAAAATTCATCATACAGAATACAACAGTACAAAAAACAATCAGCAGTGGTAGTCAGCTGATCTAATCCACACAAAACGTCTTACCTGTGATAGCAATTTTAGCTGACCATTGACTGGCACCAGCTACAATACTTTTCTGAGCAAATTCTAATGCATTCAAGTGTACTTTAGAATTGACATCGATTTGAAAAACACTAGCTAAAAATTCAAATATATCTGATCGTTCTGTTATACGGCGTTGAATCAAGGCACGAATTGCTTCCATAGCCGCTTGAGCTTTATCTACAGCACCATGACGAAGAGATTTTTCAGCAGCTCCTGATAATCAAAAAAAAAGATCCCGTTTGGGTGTAAAAAAAAGTAATAAAAGTTCAATTCAATAAAAGTGCTTAGTCTTAAGGTAGATATGTTCAAGTTTCAATAGGAAATCATATATTTGTAAAGGTTATCCAATCACGACATGAAATGATGGTCACATTAACTTACCATAAGCAATAGATATCTCAACTAAAACCTGTTAATAATAAATTTCTCTCCAAGAAATCTAACTGCTATGAACTCAATTTCAGATTAATTCAAGGGTGCTAACTAATCAGATTTTGGAAAACAGAAGGAAGCCACTAGTTGAGGTTAATTTGTTTTTCAATCTTTACTGGTCAAGCTGATGTTAGATGTTGACATCAAAGTACCTTGGAATTCCATGGTAACTTAGATTATTATGAATAGTTTTGGCCTGAACAGTTTTTACTCTTTATTATTATTGTTTCCTTTACTTCCTAGACGAGCTTGAGCCTAGAGCTTCAACCGCAAGTCTCCATTGCGTTTGGTTCTCTGCCAACGTTTTCACCTTGCTCCACGTCTCCAACATGCTTTCATCTCCTCTTCACATGACCTTCTCCATATCAACCTCAAACTGACGACTAACTCGCCGCTTCCCATTCGGGTTACACTCAAGCAATGGCCAATCCACCTTCATTTCTTCCTGCTTATTTGTTGCACAATCGGTCCCTGCTGGGTCGGTTCACTCCCGGAGATCCCTGTTGCTGATATTTTATGTCTGGCCATCAGATCTCAAGTAGTTAGCGAAGACGGCTATTGATGAAGGGCTGTAGTTTCTTCGAAGTGCCCTTCGTGACGCGGCGCCAAGTCTCTGATCCGTACAGTAGGTAATACTGACTTCACATTGGAGTTGAAAATTCGGATCTTACTTTAGATGCTGAGTGCTGTTGACCTCCACACAGACTTGAGAGTAGTGAAAGCTTGTCTTGCTTTCCCGATTCTTGCTTTGATATCCTCGTCAGTTCCGTCCGCCTGTAGTTGAAACGATGCTTCCCAGGTAGGTGAAGGAGGTTGCTCCTTTCAGATTCCTCCCATTTATGGTGGTTGTTGTCTGTTGTTGTTGCTGTTGCTGTTATCCAGAAATCTTCACCACCTCTGTTTTCTCTATGTTTACCTGAAGTCCTATCTTCTCTGGATGCTTCTTCTGCCAACTTGTTGCTTTTCACTTGCATATCTTCCAGTTTGTGGAAAGTCAGACACATATCATTGGCGAATTCCAGATCCTCCAACTTTATGTTAGGGTCCATTATATGCCTGTTTCTTCGCTGCCTGCTGTCTGTCACATTATCCAGTCTACAACCCTCAATCAGGAAAATCATTGCAGCATTATCGTACAACTGTTGGATGAGATGTATTATTGTTGTCGCCACCCCGTAGTAGCGAGGTAGTTGCCAAATTACCTATTGATCGACGCTGTGGAAGGCCTTTTCAAAGTCAATGAAGTTGAGTTGATTGATTCAGATGAGCAGGTTGTATACCACTGACATGAAGCAGGATTACTGCTAACTAGCCAGATCCAGATAATGTAAACACCGGACGGCTGTTTCACTCGGAATGAGTTTAATGCTTTAAAAGAAAAAAAATGTTTTGAAGAATACCAGAACTTCATTACTAAAACTCATTAGTAAATGTCATCTCAAATGTCGATGGAACTGATGTCAGCGGAGAAAGTCGAACCCCCGATTGGAAATGCCATCACTCATCTGTACGGGTTGTGACTACCCTCATGTAGAACTGTATTGTATGCATAACATAAAACTGAAAGATAATGATTTCGTAATCTGAGTCTACTCTGTTTGTAGCCTTGAATGAAGCTACTGGTGAGAGGTGGGATATATTTGGCAAAATCACGTGATCATATGTATCTCAAATACACTGAAACCTTTTGTATTCTATTTGTATACATACTAAAATTGTTTTAAAAATATTTACGAAATTATTTAAATTGTTCACTTCCTGTTATTCTTCTGTAATATAATGAAAAAATTTATATTGGTTTTTTCAAGTATTGGTTTTGTAGGGATTTTTGTTCGATTGGTTGGAGGATTTCATCATGAGCTGACATCAGTTAGAGTACCATTGGAAAACCTCCAGGGAGTACTAGATAGCTGTTTTGTCCTAATCTCTTGGTGCTCCTCATCAGTACGCACCCACTATCAGAGTTCGAACTCAGGGCCTTCAGGTTACAAAGTTAGCCACTGGGACCTGCTAGTCCAATGGCCGCCTCATGAATTCTAAATTGTGCTAATTCATGACATAGTGCAATCACTTCGCAATGTCTTCTTCGATGAGTTACTGCCTCACCTTCAACCTGCTGTACCCTACTGGTCACGACTGCCTACTAGAACCTCAGGTTAGCTGCCTGAATAGGGCCAGTAGCTAGTTAGCATCAGATCATTTTTCAAGTATTGATTTTGTAGTGATTGTTATAATTTTCTTCTTAGCTCCTACCCTTCTGCACACAGACACACACGTTTTCACCGTCCGTCAGCTCCGATCTTTATTATCCAGGGAAGTTGGATACTGATGAAGGTTTGAAAGGGCACGTATTGAAAAAGCAGAGATTTGCAGCACAAGGGGAAGTCCTCGTGTGGGTAGTATTCTCCCAGATTGTTGGTTCAAATATGAAACTTCCATTCATCCTCAGGACATCATCTTAACCACTAGCGTTAACGTTAGTTATATGAAGCAGCCTTCATGACGGTCAATTTAAGCCGTAAAACAATCAATAAAAGTATAATTAGCTATATGTAGTCCGTTTCATGTTTTTTCTTGAAATTGAGTTTTAGTCTTTTCTGCTCTCATTTCCAATAAACTATCTCCGAACGATAATTTTTTCATGAACTGATATCAGTTAGAGAACCATCAGGAACCAACTAGGGAGTACTGGACGGCTGTTTCCTCTGAGTTCGGGACTCTTCATCATTGAGCACCCTCCACAGAGGTTTGAAACTACGAGACAGCTATCCAGTGCTTCCAGGTTTTCCAATGGTTCTTTAACTGATGTCAGCTTATGATGAAATCCTGTAACCAATCGATCAAATCCGTGCAAACCAACACTTGATTATTCATCATTCAGTTAGTTGGTTGTCAGCCCTCCTGATTACGTACAATTACTATCGGTTTTTCAAATATGGCTGTTAATGACGCACTTCAGTTTACTTGAACACTAACTGACAACAACCTGTAACCTCTGTTGTCAATGTAAATTGTATTTATAAACCGCCTAAATAACAGTACAGCTCTGAAGTAAATTAAAGTGAGAAGAGCTTCCTTTGCTAACTCATGCGTTCTCAATTTCATGAAATGGGAATTAATCATACTTTGAGGGAGAAAATGAACATTATGTACGTATGTGACTTCAACTTATATTTCATCACGTACTGACATCAGTTATAGAATCCTTGAGAACTAAGAAGTACTGAACAGCTATTTCGTCCTCCTGAAGTTGTGGTCATTGGCATCCACCATGTCAAGAGGAAGTCGATGCTAGTCGATGGCGCTTACTGTCGTTGAGCTATATTACCGAATGAGAAAATAAAAATTCACAAGTCATTAAATCTCCGTTCAATTGACTGAATGGCTGATGGGCAAGCCTCACCACTTGGAGGTTTTGAGTTCAACCTTCTGTGAGGTCACAGGTGTGTAATTTTGAAGATTTCAGGAAGTAGGATGAAACAGCTATCCAGTAATCTCTGGTTTCCAGTGATTTGTTATAAAATTAATAAAATTAACCCGAATCTCTATGTAACCCAACATCTAGATTGTATGTAACTGACCTTCAAGTCTAGTTGGAACTCATTCATACCAGTAGTCCAGTGGTTTCCAATTATTTCTAATTTAGTTAGTTAAGTTGATTTCACTACTTCTCCCAGCTTATGATCAAAACACTAAAAATTCTTTCAGAATTAAAGATAGAATTTCAAGGTATAATCACACATCGTTCTATCCTTCTCATTTCGATGAATTTAATAATTCAAGTGTTGGTTTGTGGGGATTTGATTGGTTACAGGATTTTCATCATGAGCTGACATTAGTTAGAGAACCATTGGAAAACCTGGAAGTACTAAACAGCTGTTTCGTCCTAATTTGGGACTCTTCATCGGTACGCACCCACCACAGTGGTTCGAACCCAGGACCTTCTGGTTACAAGGCCAGCGAGCTCCTATACCATTAAGCCACTGCGACCCGATCCAATGGGCCATGAATTCTAACTTCTGCCAATTCATGACATAGCGCGACCCCTAGCCAATGTCTTCGGCGAGTATTTGTCCTCACACCCGACCTGCTGCACCCTACTGGTCACGACTTCTCACTAGAACCCCAGGCAACTATCTACCTGAATAGGGCAATTGTAGCATTAAGAACACAATATTCAGGGAAGAGACTCTTCTCAACGAATTTATTATCAAGTTGCACAATCATAAATATATATATATACATATATATAGTTTTTAAGAAATTGCATCAAGTGAGGGAATTAGATCAAAGGTGTGAATACATGAAAAAAGAATAATAGTATGAAATGAAATTAAGATATTTGTGATTATAAACATAGTTAAGTGTCAGGTATCGAAGTAAGACGTCAAAAGCTGTCTCTATAAAACAGTCAGTAACACATTCTTTACAGCAAATTTACGTATGACGTTCACCAGCCTCAAGTTGTTCTCCATCTCCGTAAAAGATAAGCTCCTCCGTCCAGCCGCCTCCATGTGCATCTATCAGTTCACCCACTCCTCTTGTGGAGCAAGGTATATTGGCCGTAGTCAGAGGAGGCTTTCCACACGGATACCAGAACATATTCCAGCCACATGGTTTTACAAGGGAGAAAGGAAGTGTACGCGAAGCTCTTTTCTAGAACACCTGATCGACTTCTGTCACTCTGTCAACCCTGACCATGATTTTAAGATCATATATAGAATCCATGCTAACTTTCCAGCCGCGTTTTCTTCGTTACAGACTTCTAAAGACAGCTGAGG